TTTTTTTTTGTAAGGAAGGCGATGGGAAAGAGAGTTGTTTTGGTAATTTGAAACAATATTTATGTTTTATAAAGACCTTATAATTCAACAAAAAAATAAGAAATAAAAAAATAAAAGTAAAAAAAAAATAGGTGAAGATATAAGAAACCATAAGTGAATAGTAAATTTCAATGCAACTTTGCTTAACTCGTTTTCAGATCCACTGAAATATTGGTGGCAGCTTTTTCGATCTCTGTATCTATCTACCTGCCTTTCTGCGTATCTCTGTCTGCCTATCTGTGCGCCTATGTATCTTTACGTTTTTATATCTGTACATATCTAAGTATATCTAAGTGTTCCAAGTTGGTGTCTGTATCGGTGTGTTTTTGTCTGTGTGTCTGTGTCTGTGCATCTGTATGTGTCTGTGAATCTTTTAATATTACTTACCGTCAACGAAGCTAACAGATGATAGTCTTTTGGAGATGTACTGTTCGTTGGAATCAGGTACAGTTTGGTGCCGATGGTGTTGAAGGCCAACCGGAACGGTGCTTCGGCCAGATTCGGCGTCTTCTCCATGCTGCATTCGGCGTCCGTAAACGTTTCGCATAGTGCACTTTGAAGATCTGCAATTAATTTAATATTTGCCACTGTATGCTGCTGATGATACTCTTCAACACTTCACCATCTCAGGTGTATAACTTTTTGATTTTTACAGAGTCACGACGAAGTAAAGAAAAAAAAAAACTTAATATTGTTTATTGAAGAGAAAACAACTGAAGGAATAAAGAGAAAAGAAAAAAAAATTGGAAACTGCTCCAACCTCTCTGCGTTTTCGAATCTCAGCCTTAAATTACTCAATTATATTTTCCAACTGATATACTTATGCAGTAAAATTGACAGCCATATAATATGGGTTGTGTGTCAAAATATGTTCGGTTAACTCTTCGGTTTGTTTAGAAGAAGAAAAAAAAAAAGAATGCATATTTCGTCTCTTGTTTTGTCGTCATTGTTGTATTTTTTTTTTCTTTTTATTGCGGTTTCGAAAACGATTTGGAATATTTCGCATTAAGCCGGTCGATAATGTTGCAGATCAAATTCGCCAACATTCAAACATCACAGTTAACATAGTCAGCTGCTCTCCGAAACGGAGCGAAATATTTGAACTTTGAAAAGCAAAAATATAATAACACAAATAACTGCTTAACCAAATAGTACATAAATGTCGTTAACAACTTGTTTTGCGAATTAAAATGTATTGAAATCAAATACAAAATTTAACTATTTTACAGTTATTAGATGACGGAGAAATAAGATGAAAGTTTGGCGTAAATAAATCATTTGATTAAAACTTCTTAATATTGTTAAAAAAAGGAAAAAAGTAATTTCAAAATAAAAAGTCATTTTACTCGCAAAATATAATCCAAATCAAAAGCAGAAGAAAAAAATGCAAACAGATTTCTAACAGCCATGAATAAAGCAGGAATAATAAACCAAAAATTTGGATGAAGAAAATTCTGTAACATCCGCTCAAGTACCGTATCAGTTTGTTAAGTTAAAGTTTATATACAACAAGTTAAGTTCTCTTCGTTTTTTACATTGTCGTTTTTCTCAACCCTTCCCTTTTTTTTTTTTTTTTTTTGTTCAAGAACTACCTAAATCAACAGATTAGCAAAACAAAACTAAGGCTTTCTTGTGGCTCTTTTTTCACTTTTGTTAAGTGCCAAACATGGATACTAGCAAAAAAGAGGAGAAAAAAATGAGATAAATTTTTACAAGAAAAGTCATAGTTTTGTCAGCAAAGTAATTTTGTTGCAGAGAGAAGAAGCAAAAAGATAGAGCTATACCTGGTAGAAAGCTGTGCAGCGTTCCGATTCCTTCCATCGCTTTACACTGTCGGCTCTCTCCACCTCTCCCTCTGATACAGCGGCAGGCCGGGTGGCTGTGCCCCTTCGGCCGGCTTGGCTGCCTGCTCGGTTGGCCCTCCACTCGAACCTCTTTTGCTGCTCTTTCATAGATTAAACTTGCAACGGCACTGTGTTTTATCATCTTTAGCTGCTCAGTTCCGCGAGATATCCATTTGCTCGTAAATCCAATGTTGCCCCATTATATTACCTATTGGCCTAAGCGACTTTCCGATCATTGCCTTTATCATCTGCTGTCATTTGGTGTACAAGAGCTTTTCTACTTATCCGGTTATCTAGTTTCATTACGGCCTCTTTTCTTCCTCTTTTTTAACTGTTTATTTTTGTGCGAATGTACGTGTGCCTACCTTTTTTTTTCTCTATTAATTTTCAGCAAACTTTCAACTATCATTTCTTAAACAAGTGGTCTGGTATAGCTGTTATCAACAAAGTGAAGGACGGTTAACAGTGAGAGGTGGAATAAAATGGAAAAAATAAAATAAAATAGAATAATAAAAGAAATGAGATGCTGGAATTCAGAAGTGCTATTTGGAATAAAACAAAGCTCCATAAAGCAGGTATATTGAACCAAATTATGAATTCTGTAGTCAAATTTTAATTTTAATAGATTTTTTAGCATAGTTGAATGACTGCTGTAAAACGAGAGCGATACAGCAGTTTAATGGGTAAGAAAAAACTTTATAACTGTCATAGTGTAAACTGACATTTTGCTATTATAGAAAATTTTAAGTTAAGACTTTTAATACACTGATAATCTAAGAGAAGAAAAAAAAAGTGAACAGTTCTTGGTTGAAATCTGAAGTGTAAGCTTAAGTTTTGCAGCTACTTTTTTTTCACTTTTTTTTTTGTTTCTGCTATTTTTGTTGCCTTTTTTGCTTTTTTTTATTTTCTGTATTTATTAATCATAAAAGTTTTTGCCAAAAACATCTGCTATTGAAAAAAATTGATAAATAATGACATTAAAACTAACCTATGTTTAGTTGTTCAGTTCTCAGAAACTATTTTTACGATTTACAATGTTATACTGATATTTTTTTCTGCTCCTATAAAGGAGATTGTGGAGGGAGAGGGAAAAAAAAGATAAGATTTATTTTGTGGTAAAGCTATTGTATGTATAATATAAAAATTGTTGCAATAAAAGTTGATTCAGTCAGGTTTAATTTAAAAAAAAAATTTAAGAAAACCAAAATAATATCCGGATTTCAGTGACAACAATTTAGAAGGTATAGTTGGAACAACAATGGT